GCCTTTCAAGGCCCGACCCCTATATTTTTCAAATTTTCTCTCTTTCATTCTACCAGGAAACATTGAGTTCAGATCAACAGATGCTAGAAGATGCAGCAAGAAGACCTTAGCTCAACGCAATTTAGCCTTTTTGAGTCACTAGCCCCAAAATAAAACGAGCAAATTTCTGCTTGTTCAAAAAATCATTTCCCATTACTCGTGGGTTAACGCATCCTCAAACAAAGAAACTCTTATGTGTTTATATGCCTCCTATGTGATATCTTGCATTATTCATCCGGAACTAATACTAACAGATTTGCCTTTGAGTTGTTTTCTCTACAGGTAGTTAGAACTGATCTGTGTTTATACACTGGCCAATCATCCTTATTTCACTAGATCTAAAGGTCCTACAGATTCCTTCCCTAGTCAAAGTTCACAAAAAGGAAAAGCAACAATGGGTGATAACAACAAAGAAACCGGCCTTACTGATGTCGTGGTGGCTCAGCCCGTCCTTGCCGATCAGAATGAACTGATCCTACATTTGATGCAACAAATTGCTGAGATGAGGGTTGAGATGCAGAGAAAATAAGATTTGCCTCCTCCGATTTTGCTGTCAACGCTCAACCAGACGGAAGACCTCCAGCTCAAATTCCCCCTCCTAACGTGGAACAAGCTCAAAACCCGCATTCAAGTCCTGCTCATAATCCCTCCATCATTGACCTTACCACCCCAAACACTCGTTACGCCTCAGCCTCTTATCAAACACCACCCCCTCCTCAAAATACCAACCTTCAAGCACCACTCTCTCTCCCTAATGCAAACCACCAAACTGGTCTACCCTCTCACAGCCAAAACACTAATAACCCATGCACTTCCCTCATTCACCAAAACCAATTTACCAGCCCCCAGACTTTTCCCCAAAACTATCACGCCCCTTTAAATTGACAGAGTCCCTCTGTTGCTCCCCACTACCGCAAAAAGCCACTTTCCAAATACCACTCCCCAGCGAGCATGATGCCCATGATTCGAAGCTCGACCACTATGAGGAGAGAGAGAGAGTGGATGTCAAAGGAAGAGACCGCCAAGATAGATATGAAGGAGAAAATTAGAAAAGTCATGAAAGAGTTAAACTGCATTCCTGAGGTCGCCGGGTTGAGCTACGAAAACTTGTATATTCATCCCAATTTGGACCTCCTGGAAGGGTTCAAGGTGCCAAAATTCGATATCTTCGGAGGAACGAGGAACCCCTTAGCACACCTGAGGACCTACTGTGAACAACTCGTGGGAGTTAGGAGAGACGAAACTTTGTTAATGCAACTTTTTAGCCGAAGTTTGAGCGGAGAGGCTTTAGAATGGTTTACGTCTCATGAAATGAGACAGTAGTCTAGCTGGAACGCTCTGGCTAAGAATTTCATCGAACAATTCGCCTACAATGTGGAGATAGTTCTTGATCGTTACTACTTGGAGAAGATGAAGCAGAAGTCGACCGAAAGTTATATAGAATTCGCATATAGATGGCGAAAGGAGGCAACTAGAGTTAGACCTCCTATGTCAGAGAAGGAAATTGTCGAAGTATTTGTGTGGGTGCAAGATCCCAAATATTATGACAGAATCATGTTGCTCGTTGGAGCAAAAATTGCTGAGATAGTCAAGGTAGGTGATACTATCGAAGATGGATTGAGAACCGGGAAGATTGCCCGTGTTGCTGCCTCGCCCGGATCTTCGGGCTTGTTGAAGAAGAAAAGAGAGGATGTGTCCTCTATCTCTTATGAGGGGAAGCAGAAAAGACACCAGCTCAGATTTCTGTATGGGCTTTGTTGATGAGTTCACAACTGCATAGGCAAGCGTTGATAAAGGCTCTGGATGATACTTATGTGCCCGTGGGTACCAACAATGACAATCTAGCAGCCATGATAAACCAGGTTATCCGAGAACACCGAATTAGTTTTTGTGACGAAGAGCTACCCTTTGAAGGCAGGATAAACAACAAAGCTCTACACGTCACCACTATGTGTCGAGACAAGATAATAAATCGCGTCCTGGTCAATGATGGATCCGGTCTTAATATTTGCCCACTTTCGACTCTGAGGCAGCTAAAATTTGATTTGGGAAAGCTTCACCAGAACCAAGTCAATGTGAGGGCTTTTGATGGAGTGCAAAGAGACACATTGGGTGCGGTGAACTTGGATATTTAAGTGGGTCCTGCGGAATTCAACGTTGAGTTCCAGGTGTTAGATATCAACACCAGTTACAACCTACTTCTGGGAAGACCGCTCATTCATATGGCCGGGGCTGTGCCGTCTACCATTCACCAACTAATAAAGTTTATTTGGAAGGACCAGGAATTGGTCATTTATGGTGAAGGGATCCATTCCAATGGGTCTGCATCGATCGTTGATAATGTCTCTCGAGGTTGTGATTTCTACACGGTGGAGATGGTAAATGCCACCGGTGATGACTTGGCTCCACAGCCTCCTATGCCCTCCGTGTACAAGATGATTGCTACTGTCATGCTCCAGAGCGGTTTCAAACCAGGTTTCGGAAAGGGGAAGCACTTTCAAGAAATTGTCGAAACTATTCAGATCCCCACCAAAGGAGCAAAGTTTGGTTTGGGGTATGTCCCCACAGATGCTGACAAAGCAGAGATGAAGAACAAGAATGTTGATCAAGCATTAGCCAGGCCAATTCCTCATCTGTACCAGTCATTTCTAGTACGAGTAAATGTCAACGATGGTGGTCTCGGGGAAAGAATTTGGGGCCTTTTTGAGGAGATTGATGCGGTCATCGAGGAAGAGGCTGGGACATCAGACTTCTGTGATGCAGAACCTGAGGAGCGATTACAGAACTGGACCTCCACACCACTCCTGATTTCCCGCTCATTTGTGTAGAAAAGACATGCGTTTTGTTTGTTTTAAAATTGGTAGTAGTCCGGAAGAGGCCTGAGACCCACCCTTTATGCAATTGTTAATTGTTTGAAGCTTTTAAATTCCCTTGTTATGTTTAAAAAGGCAAGATGGCCCTCGGCCATGGCCAAAGTTTGTGCTTGTCTTTCAATTTAAATGAAAAGCCTCTTCTTTATCAAAATTGGTTTACTTTCTTATCTGTTACATTTACTTCCCTAACTTTGTTTGTTTATGATTTCAGTAATATTAATTTAAAACCTGTCAATGTCATGTCATGTCACGAGCCGAATGAACAAAATGAGGCATGTGATGATGAGTGCGAGGAATATGAAGAATAAAATGAGGTACCCAACATGTTGCTGAGGAGTTTCGACAATTCGAGAATCAACACAAGCCAAATTTGGAAGAAACCAAAACTGTGAATCTCGGAGAAGAGGAATGTGTTAAAGAAACCGAAACAGTGTCCATCTAACTGAAGCTCAAAGGAAAGACCTGGTCCGTTTGCTCAGGGATTACGTTGATGTGTTTGCCTGGTCTTACAGAGATATGCCAGGATTGAGTACGAATATGGTGTCTCATAAGTTGCCGATTAACCCAGATTTCAGTCCAGTAAAACAAAAGACTCGGAAGTTCAAGCCTGAGTTGAGTTTGAAGATCAAAGAGGAGATTACAAAGCAGATCGAGTCCCAAGTAGTCGAAGTGATGCAGTATCCGACTTGGTTAGCCAACGTTGTTCCGATTGCCAAGAAAGATGGACAAATCAAAATTTGTGTTGACTACAGAGATCTCAATAAAGCTAGCCTGAAAGATAATTTTCCATTGCCAAACATTCAAATTCTCATTGATAATTGTGCTAAGCATGAGATGCAGTCGTTTGTGGATTGTTATGCGGGTTATCACCAGATCCTGATGGATGAAGAAGATGCAGAAAATACAGATTTCATCACGCCCTAGGGTGTATATCATTATTGAGTGATGCCTTTTGGTCTCAAGAATGCTGGTGCTACTTACATGAGGGCTATGACGACCATCTTTCACGATATGATTCACAATCAAATCGAGGTGTATGTAGATGATGTCATAATCAAGTCCCGCGAGAGTTCGGATCACTTGACTCACTTGAGGAAATTCTTTGATCGTCTACGCCGATACAATTTGAAGTTAAATCCCGCCAAATGTGCTTTTGGAGTGCCAGCTGGCAAGTTGTTGGGATTTATAGTTAGCATGAGGGGCATTGAGCTTGACCCTTCCAAGATCAAGGCGACCCAAAAATTACCTCCTCCAAAGACCAAGAAAGAGGTGATGAGTTTTTTGGGAAGGTTGAACTACATCAGCAGGTTCATAGCTCAATCCACCGTGGTATGTGAGCCCATCTTTAAGTTATTGAAAAAAGATGTCTCGACCAAGTGGACCGAAGAATGTCAAACTGCTTTTGATGCTATCAAGAACTATTTGTCCAATCCACCGGTGTTGGTCCCTCCGCAAGAAGGGAATCCGTTATTGCTATATTTGTCGATCTTGGATAATGCATTGGGATGCGTGCTTGATCAACATGGCGAAATCGGGAAGAAAGAGCAAGCCATATATTACCTGAGCAAGAAATTCACTCCATATGAAGCTCGTTACACTTTGTTAGAGAGAACATGTTGTGCTTTGACCTGGATTACTCAGAAATTGAGACATTATTTGTCCTTTTATACCACATACCTTATTTCCAGGATGGACCCGTTGAAGTATATTTTCCAGAAAGCAATGCCGACCGGGAAGTTGGCTAAATGGCAAATGTTTTTGAGTGAGTTTGACATTGTGTACGTGACACAAAAGGCGATAAAAACACAAGTCTTAGCTGATCATCTTGCGGAGAATCCAGTTGATGAGGACTATGAACCGCTCAAGACTTAATTTCCTGACGAGGAAGTTTCATTTGTGGGTGAAGATATTTTTGAAGCCTACCCTGGTTGGAGAGAATTCTTTGATGGAGCGGGAAATCACCAAGGGAAAGGGATCAGAGCGGTCTTAGTATCAGAATCCGGTCAACACTATCCTATGGCAGCTAAACTCCGATTTGATTACACGAACAACATGGCAGAATACGAATCTTGAATCCTTGGTTTAAAAATGGCCATCGACATGAATGTTCATGAGCTTCTGGTTATTGGAGACTCAGATTTGTTGATTCATCAGGTTCAAGGAGAATGGGTCGTGAAGAACCCAAAGATCACACCATACATGCAGTATATACAGAAGTTGTGCAAATGATTCCGGCAAAATCGAGTTCAGACATACTCCCAGAACACAAAATGAGTTAGCCGATGCTCTTGCCACCATCGCATCAATGATTAAGCATCCGGATACAAGTTATATTGATCCAGTGGATATAGAGGTAAAAGAGCAGTCTGTCCATTGTTCACATGTTGAGGCAGAATCAGATGGTTTACCTTGGTATTTTGACATCAAGAAGTACTTGGAGACCAGAATTTATCCTGAGAATGCAACGTTCAACTAGAAGAAGTTGATACGCCGTATGACCCTCAATTTCTTTGCAAGTGGGGACATCCTTTACAGAAGGATTCCAGATTTAGGTCTTCTCAGATGTGTTGATGCTAGTGAAGCTGCAAAACTTCTGGAACAAATACATGCTGGAGTTTGTGGTACTCACATGAATGGACTCACTTCGACAAGGAAGGTCCTTCGAGCCGGTTATTTTTGGATGACTATGGAACATGATTATTGCAAGTTTGTGCTTATCGCCCCCAAATGAATGGAGCTGTAGAAGCCGTCAACAATAACATAAAAAAGATTTTGAGGAAAATGATTGATAATCGCAGAGATTGACATAAGATGTTGTCATATGCTTTGTTGGGTTACCGAACGACAGTCAGAACATCAGTTGGAGCTACTCCATATTTGCTAGTATATGGAATACAAGCAGTTATACCTCCAGAAGTTGAAATACCTTCGTTGAGAATCATCCAAGAAGCTGAATTGGGTGATGCTGAATGGGTTCGCAAGCAGATTGATCAATTAACATTGATTGATGAGAAAATAATGGTTGTTGTTTGTCATGGACAACTATATCGATAGAGAATGATTCGTGCTTTCCACAAGAAAGTAAGAGCCAGGATATTTGAAATCGGCCAATTGGTTCTCAAACGCATTTTTCCTCATCAAGTTGAGTACAAAGGAAAATTTGCACCAAAATGGCAAGGACCCTACATGGTTTGCAAAGTGTTATCTGGAGGTGCCTTGGTTCTATCAAAGATGGATGGCACCGAATGGCCGAAACCGATCAACTCAGATGCTGTCAAGAGATACTATGTGTGAAATTTCAGTTTGTATTTCTGTCTTTTCTTTGTAATCGTCCTATTTGCTTGTAATCGCTTTGTTTAGAATTTTATCCCTTTTGAAATGAACTACGTCTTACCTGAATTCTCAAGAATGAGATACGTAGGCGGCCTATGTCGGCCTTGGTCACCCATTTATCCTCTATAATGTTTCCTTTTGTACTTGAACTACGTTCGACCTGAATTCTCAAGAATGAGATACGTAGGCGGCCTATGTCGGCCTCGATCGGTTTCTTTGTAAATTTCCTATTTTTCTTAATCCCAATGGGAGAACTACGTTTGACCTGATTCTTGCCTCAACGGGATACGTAGGCGCCACAAGGGCTTGGTCATATTTCCCGTAAGATTTCTATTTCTCTTCACAATAGAAACTGGGACAGAATTTTTGAGAGGGACTAAAAAATTCTCGAGAAGAATATTTTTCCAACAAAGTCAAGACTGAAGTTACTTTGAGATTTGCAACTGGGACATAAATTTTGAGAAGATCTCAAAATTCCGTGATTGCTCACCAACGGTTAAAGATAAGCCAATACAGTTAACTGGGACAGAAATTTTGATATGGACTCAAATTTTCAACAGGGTTTATCGACAGTTTAGAACAACTTTGAATACTTCCCAACAAGTAATCAGATGGACATCGATACATCAACTCCAAATGGCGCTCATTAAGCTTGACGTGACATGACACTTGGCAGTGACTTTTTCCAAACATTATTTTTGAAAATCTATTTTTCCTTTGAGAACTTTTCCCTCACCTTTTAATTATTTTTGCATAAAAATATTTTGTCTTATCTATCAAGAGGCAAGAGATCAGAGAAATCAACCGGAGATAGCAAGACAAGGAGCAGACAATTGAAGAGATCAACACAGATCAGTTCATTTTTAAACTAACAATTTTTCTGTGGATGCAAGTCTATAGGTTGCCTCAAAATCAGCATATTCTTCCATTCAATGAATATGGAGAAGTCAAAAGGGAAAGGGGCTCCCCAAAATTGACAATTTTTCCGTGGATGCGAGAAATATTTTATGTTGCTTATATCAAAGGTTTTGAAATATGAATAACACTATGTCATTCAAATCCCAACAAAGTGAGGTCCATAATGAATATGCAATTATGTTCAGAGATGGAATAAATGAAAACCTCGAAGAGAGAAATTTTATTTTGTTTTCCAGCAATTAAAGTCCCATGGAGGGTGTTTATCTGCGTCATATTATCAGACATGATAGTATTCTTACCCAGAGAGTCATTTTTATTATATTGTCAAATGAGATGATACCACTACTCCGAGGGTCATTTCATTTATATTGTCGATTGAGACGATACCGACATCCAAAAGATACCCAGAAGATCACATATGTTGCTCAGTGAAGCATTATCTTCGTTCGGTATCTGGGAGACATCATCATCAAAGGAAGTCATGCATTGCAAGAGAAGAAAATCATGCATAGTAAGAGAAAGAAGGCATGCATAGCAAGAGAAGGAAGTCATGCATTGCAAGAGAAGGAAATCATGCATAGCAAGAGAAGAGTCATGCATTGCAAGAAAGAGATTCATGTATTGCAAAAGAAGATTCATGCATTGCAGGAGAAAGAATTCATGCATCGCGAGAAAAGATTCATGCATTGCAATAGAAAAATGCATGCATCGCGGGATGAGACTCAGGCATTGCAAGAGAAGATTCATGCATTGCGGGAGAAGGAATTCATGAATCGCGAGAAAATATTTATGCATTGCAAGTGAAGGATTCATGCATTGCGGGGAAAATGTCATGCATTGCGAGAAAAAGATTTATACATCCCGGGAAAAGGGTCATGCATCGCGTGACAGGGATTCATGCATTGCGGAAAAAAAAGTCATGCATCACGAAAATGGGTCATGCATCGCAAGAGAAAGATTTACCTATCATAAGAAGATCAACATCGACTGTATCATTTTTTTTTTGCAAAAACGACATCAAGAGAATCATCAACAACGACATCAAGAAAACTGTCAACAACAGCCTATTTTATTACTTCAACATCAAAGAAAGAGTACATTGAAGATTATATTGCAAATATAATTCATAGGCTTTATTTGCTTTACGTCAAACTCGATGGAGTTGACGTCAAATGTTCAGGGAGAGCAATTAAGTGTCAACACGGTAACAGACGCTATCTCCCCATTTGAATTGCATTTTATGCTAATGAATTTTATCTCAGTCTTTATCTCAAAACAAAACCACAGGTGCCGACGACATAAAAAAGAATATAGCACAATGTGGAACTTTTTCTCAGCAGCGAACTAGGACATAGTCCAAAGAGGAGTGCCAAACTCTTAGGAAGCGAGCAAAAGAGCGACTTCCACCACAATCAAACTACACCCCTATCAAAAGGCATGTGGGTTTTTCTTAGATTTATCAGCTCCAGTTTCGCATTCGGGAAATTTTGGGTTCACCGGAACTAATTTTCCAATCTGAGTGACAATGCACCAAGATCTTTGGGAATTATGTCCGTGTAAGTTCTTAATTATGGGTGTAAAGTGCACCACATTCATGGCTAAGAGGTTACAAGTCTCTTTTTCATACTCGACTTACTTGTCACTCCTCCAGAACCAAAGGATATCTTGCGTAATAGATTTCCTTGTCAACAGATAGAGTCAAACTACAAGCAGCCTGATTCCCTGAGTTGAGGATATGTAGGTGGGATCATTGTTGAAAACTCTGTTGTGTTCCAACATTCTCCCTTAAATCTTATTCTCAAGTGTTTCGGTCTCTTCATAATTCGATATCGAAATAACTTTTGAATTCTTTCAGAGTCGTGCGGTAAATCAAACATATCAAACTACAAGTGGCCTGAATTCTCATATAGACTGAGATATGTAGGAAACCCACTTTCGGGGCTCAACCATAATTTCTAAAGTCCGTACCAAAATCCTTTTTTCAGAAAGGATGTGGTCAGCAAAAATTGGATTTTGTCAATTTCATTTGCCTCGAATTTCTTTCATCAATCCAAGTCAAACGAGGGACAATTGTTGATGCCCAATTTTGGACCTCCATATTATAAATTAATCATCGAGCTTGTTCAAATTCAAACGATTTAAATAATATATATCTTTTATATAATTACACATATAACTAGTACATTTTATGAATATTCAAAAATCACCTCAAAAAGATTTTAATTCTACTCAAATATTTGGTTAATTAGTTTAGTAGTTTATATTTTAAATAATTTAGTTTATAATTAAGTTGATTATTTTATTTTGTTAATATTAAGAAGCTCATTAATTAATTTGTACTAATTCATCTTATTTAAATTTTGGCCGAATTCATCAATTAAATTCAAATCGGCTAAGTTTTTTAACTTCAATTGGTTCTAATTATATTTCTTTACTCACCTTAAACCCGTTTGAGACCAAGTTTTGGGCTATTTTCTCAATAATTTTCGGCCCAATTCCATTCCCAACCCACCCAACTCTTACTTTCAATTCCCAGCCCACAGATTTGCAAACAAAACAAGCCCAACCAACTTCCTTTTCCCACAATATCATGCAATACATAACCCAACATTACACACATACAACAAAACCAATCACCCTTGGCCCACCTATATTTCCAATTCAATACAACAACAATACCAACATTACGTACAACAGCAATTCAAAAAAAAAAAAAAGAAAAAAAAAAGAGACCCACCAGCTGTACACCGACAATACATACCATACGTACAACATACAACCCCAACGACCCCTGCGTCTTTTTCTTCTCCTTTCTCTACGCGAAATAACCCAGTACTGTTACAGGCTTCTAACAGTCCGTTTCCAGCCATCCAGCACGCGTTTTCGTCCTTGCCAATGTGAGATCGCTCTATGTGGCATTTCAAGGACATTAGAGTCGATTTGAGGCGTCGATTCGCCCTTTCCCCTTCCGGAATAGGGCAAATTTTTTAGAAAAAGTATGCCTCCCTTCAATGGTGAAAGAAATTGATGGCATTTGAATTTCGAATGGACCCTTTCCTATCCGTTTTTCACCCTTTCCCCCCTTTTTTTCTGAACCGGATTCCCTTCTATTTATATTGTTCATTATTTACTGTAAAGGGGGGGAAGAAAAGAAATTTTGGGAGTTGGAAAATTTTATATTGGAAAGAAGTTGGGAAAAAATATAAGAATCGGTCAGCCTTTGAG